CAACACAACCCAACAACTTCAACAACACAACCAATCTTTTCTCTTAAATAAAACGAGCTTGGAGTGTTGGGGAAAGGACCAACCCAACACTATGAACTCACATACCTTAATAGGGATCACCCCCGACGATACCACGACGATCTCCTTGACGAAACCTTGCTTCTTCTTCTCCTTCTCCTCTTCTTCTCCTCTTCACTCTAAAACCCTAACTCTCACTCTTTAAAATGGGACAAACTGTTCTAAAAATCAGTCTAACACAACAATATAACCAAAGGAATTGGTTAGGGAAAAGACCAAAATGCCCTTAAAATTTCCGGACGGATTTCCCTGCCAACTGCCCCAATTTCCAAAGGGCATAACTCCCTCATACGAACTCGGAATCGAGCAAACTCGGTGGCGTTGGAAAGATCATTCCACGAGCTTTGCAACCATAAACTGGAACTACACCTAACGCATCCTGAGCTAGAATTTATGACTGCTCAAAGTTGGCCAAAAACTCACATTTTTTCCATACTTGGCCAAATTCCCAGATTTTTAAAATTCTTTCCAAAAATGAAAATTCCAATTTTAAGCCTCTTCGTAGTTATTTCAATTTGCCGGATGTTACAATATAATCTTCAACAGCTTGCATCTCCTCTTCATAATCTCCTTCATCAAATCTGTGTCTCAACACAGAGAACTTCTCTGAAAATTTTTCTCTAACAAAAATCTTCATTACTGTCAAATAGGTTGCGGCTAGATCTGAACCCGCCAAGATGAACACTTGTTTCTAACCTGGCTCAACCATTGAACCTCTGTACCACTTGTCAGGACCGAAATAATTAGATGTCATGCGTAAGCTAACAAAGCGAACCTCGAAAGACCATGAGTAAGAAGATAAACGAGAAATATACAAAAGACACAAAAAAATTAACGTGGTTCAATCAATCAACCTATATCCACAAAGGGGATGAACGATCCACTATATAAATATGAGAGTGTAAAATATAGAGAGAATAACCTCAACCAATTCAGTCGGAATACATGGGAGGTTCACACAAGTGATACCATATCACTTGTGTCCCAAAATTCTCCCCCTAACCAAAAATCTCAAAGCCCCTAGAACTACATTGTGAATGGTGATTAAGTTAGAAGGAACAAACCTCTATTTATAGAGTCATAAACTTTTTTCTACAAGAAAATGACTAGTCAATCCTAAACTTTTTCCTGAAAGAAAAACCTATTTATGTTAAAAAATCAGGATAATTAATACCAACATCATATACATCAATACAAGGATCTGATAGAGTATTGCTACTCTAGTTTTTGGGAAGGGGTGTTGGGTTGCATAATACTTATTACAATATTTATTAGTACTAGTGGGCGTTATTAGCCTAATAAAAATAGTTTGTATATTGTCTGCTTTCAATTTTTTTAGGTACAAAAAGGGGAGGAACTGTCCATAACAAAAAGTAGTTAGCCTTTCATAATTTAGATCTCTCCTTCTCCAGAATATCTGTCACTTGATTTTCTTCGAAACAACTGTGTTGCACCTATGCTGCACCATGCTAGCTGTCACAGTAGTTCCCTGCATTCAGACAAAATAGTTGAATAAGATGGATGATCATTTGTTTCACATTGAATAGTCCTCTTAATCGATAGTAAATTCAAAATGTGTTAGATTCTTCACTACAAGAAAATGGTGAATTGGGGATTAGTATGAAAATTTGCAAGAAAATTAAATAAGTTTCCTGCGGATTTTCATACTAATTCCTAGGAAAATCCCCATGTAATTCACAGTTTTCCTGTAGTGCTTATTGATTGCAATCTTTAATTTATTTAGGAGTGCACATAATTCAGAAATTATGTTTGTTGTTGCAAATAAATTGTCGATAAACCTACTATTCGTTTTTCATCTTTGTCCCTTGTCACCCCCTATAACACCTCTTCCAGATTTCTCCTTTTGCTGAGCTATCTATATTGAGTTTATATCATCCAATAATAGGTGTAATTACCCTCCAGGTCATTTCCTTTTTATTGTATTATTCTCGGTATTTAAAGTGTTTCTATAGTGACTCCAAGTCAATTATTACTTGTTGGGACTGACAGTTCGATCGCCTAATTATTCGTTTGATTTCTATGCGATTTCTCATGATTTGGAGCTTTTGAAACTTAGACAGTTGACTTCGTTCAAAACTTCAGGTAGATGGTTTCAGAATGTAATTCAAACAATTCAGTTAGCTCTGGAACATCGTGTTTTGTCTAAAAGGACTTTTGGTGTGGATCCCGAGGCTTAGGTCGTGACTTTAGGTGTCATCACGACTCGAGTAGTTGAGTGTTTAGGTCAGTAGGTGGTTTCCATCACACAAATATAGTCCTTTATTTAGAGGAAATAGTTTGTTGGTTGGTTAAACTAACGTATTCCCTCTCATGACTATAAGATATGCTTTGACTTAGTACATCCAATGATAAGGAACATTGCCTCTTCTGTTATTGTTCCAGATAGCCAACTCAAAACTAGAACATCACGTTCTTCCCAAGTTGTGAATCTTTTTTAAAAAAAATATACAGATGTCTTGTCATTGCCATTAATGTGGATTACAAAAGAGGAAGGAGGACTTTACCTTGCCTTCCTAATGTGATTTGCATAATATACGAGCACAAAAGGAGGCACAAACAATGCCAAACGCATAGAAGCACCTCAAGGTGGCTCAAAGAAAATCATACTCGATTTTCTTTTTTTGATTCTCAAGGAGGGAAATTGCCATTTTTCAACGTTCAGTAGGCCTCTAATCTGCCTGGGAACAGTGCTTGGTTGTGTAAATACTTTAACTTCCTCAGCAAAATGGCTCATTGAAGCCAATTTATCAGCCACACTATTTGCTTCCCTAAAACAATGGTTAATAATTACATCATGTATCCAGATCAATCTTCTAGTTTCCTCCACTGATTCCTTAATCCTCCATGGAGTGGACCAACTGTTATTAATACAATTCCAAAGGAGTAGGGAATCAATCTCGGTGATGATGAGATTATGACCATTGTTAATACACCATCTAAGTCCAAAGAGGAATGCATTTGTTTCTGCAGTGTTGCTGGTGTGCCTCTTCCAAGTGGGAGGATGAAGGCCATCAAACATGTGCCCAGGGAATCTCTCACTATTCCACCACCTCCTGTAGAATTTCAAACACATGAACTATCAAAGTTCATTTTCACAAATAAGAGAGGGAGTTTCAACCACACCTCACACGGACAGAGCTAGTATCAACTCTGTTAAGTTCCATGAACTTCAATAAATTCTCCCAGTTCTCAGGTATGATATGTTCAGATTTGTAAAAAATTTCTTCGATAATTGACATATGTTGAACGATATGAGAGAATTAGATCTAATGATAGAGGGGTACTTGGAATTAGGAGCAGGATAAGGAACATTGCCTTTGAAGATTTCATCAATCGTAAAGGTTTGAATTAGTTGGAGGATTTATGTCCTCCAAACTAAGTAATTTGATAATTTCAAGTTAATAGAACAAATTGCAATAAATTGATGGAGAGAGAAAATGAGGAGAGGGCAAAGGTAGTATTTGGGGATGAGGCCATATCTAGTGTTAATCTCTACAAGAATATTTCAAGTATTGCACTAAATAGCTGGACCAAAAGCTATACAAATTGTACATTGAGACCCACTAAATAGTTGAACTAAATAAAAGCTATACAAATTGTATCTTGAGGCCTTATAATATTTGGTCATTTCTGGCCCAATTTGATTGGGTATTAATTTTATTCATTTTTATAAAAACATGTATTGTAAATAATCACACGTGTCTTAGTTTTTCACTTTCTATAAGTTCTTAGTTTGCTCTTCATCTGCTCAAAACTCTCCTCATTTTCAATTTTCGGAAAGTGTTGCAGCAATTCAAGTTCTTACTTTCTTCTTCATCTACTCAAAGTTTCTTATCTTCAATTTTCGAAGAGTGTTGCTTCAATTGTAAGGTATTCCTTTTCCCTTTGTTATTCTTCTATCTTATCAATTTTTCCTTCAATTTTTCTTTGTGACCATAAGGGGAAATTAAAATTGAAGTCCCTAGCTTCAATTTTTTCATCAGACGTCGTTTGTGAGCAAGGGAAAAATCGAAATAAGAGTTTCACTCATGCAACTGAAAAATTATGTTTTATGGGTTTATAACGTTTTGATTTTTAGTATTGAAAGAGAAATTAGGACAAAATTACTTTGGGTTTACATGTTTCTTCATCCTAAGTTCTTGCTCTTCTTGAACTCTCTAAGGAATATGAATTTGACCTAATCTGTTGGATTTTTCTTTTCAAATTTCGGAGAACTGTGAACTGTAAATTGCCCATATATAAGTGTTTTTGTTTGTTGTAGTAGGGTTTTCTGGTGGATTAGTTTATTTGATCTATGTGATTTACCAGAATTGTGTCGGAGGTGGGGTGATGGTAAGCTTTTTGTGAAGTTTTGCAGGAAGGGAGTAAGTCTGGGGTTAAAAGTTCAAAGATGATCAATTTTTTGACCGAGGTGATTTTTACAATAGAAGTGTTGGAGGTGGATGGTATTGAATTTTTTGCCTAGCTTGTGTAGTTATAAATGTGATCAACAAGTTTAGCCTAAAGGGGGGTCACTACTAAAAAAACTGTAAAAAGAGACTTAAAAAAGAGACCTCATGAGGTCTCTTTTCTAAAAAAACAGACCTAAAAAGAGACCTCAACGGTATTAAGAGATAATAGATGTTACCCTTTTGTTTAGGAGTCTGTTATTAGTTTCCTGAATTTCAGCCATATGATGATATACGTAGTTAGTCATCTTTACTATTTAGGACTTTAATAGTTTCCTGTAAACTAGGTTTCTGTTAATAGTACTTTATCAGTTTGTATTGGCTCTATTTAAAAGAGAAGGTTGTACGTGAATAAAAGTATCTTTCTCTCCTATATCTCAAACCTTCATATGGTATCCAGAGCTTTTCTTCTCCTCACAGAGTTCTAAGTTCCTTATTACCCACCCACCACCAATGGCACCCTCAGTTACCAATTCTGATGCAACTAACAGTACCACCATTGTTCAATTCAACTCGGTTACCCAGCTTCCGATTAAACTTGCTGGCAGCCATAACTTCTCCCTGTGGAAGGCCCAAGTGTCCATGCTCATGAGAGGACACAATCTTTATGGTCATCTCGATGGTACTATCCCTGCTCCTGCCGAGACCACTACCACCAACAACCTGACAATTTCCAACCCTGATTATGTAAATTGGTTT